TCCTCGGATATGCGTTTGAAAGAGTGACAAGAATCCCGAAAATGTTTTGCCTACCTTTTTATCGTAACCATTCTGTTTAAGGGATTCGTATTCAGTTTTCCTAAGAACAGTACTAAGAATTTTGGAAAGTGATCCCCAGATGATCACCTTTGATTCTCACATGTCTGTCCACTGATAGCGTCGTGACGTTCTCGACTGTAACATCAGAGGGCTGGAGTACTTTCTTTGCAGTCAATGAACCTAGGGTGGAAAATGCTTAGTACTCGTTCAAAGTGGAGAGTTCATTGTCAGCCTTCCTCCAAACCGCTCTGTTCCTTGTGTTCGCATCCTCCAAATCCTTCGAAATAAATAACACCTTGTACCCGAGTGCCATGATTAAGACAGTGGATTGTACTGGATTTCTACGGCTTGGAAGGGAGGATATAGTTTCATTGTTGACAGGTTTCCTTTTACCTATAGAATGCACAGCACCTCTGAGGTAGGGCCAGCTGGTACAGACAAAGGAGTTACGAGAGTTGGTCTATCTGGTCATCTGTCAAACCCGTACACTCAAAGTGCTCTCAATCCATGTAATCGTGACATCGCATTCCACGTTTTATGTTTGACAGACACCCTCCTCATCCCTTTTTGTTGGCTCAGTGGTTAGAAGGCGAATTTATTGACCGGAAGGTCCTTGGTTCGAGCCCGACCTCTGAACCTCGACCTCCCCTGTATAGGCTTGGGTAGCTTGACAGCATCACAGCTCTCACGCTTTCGTCGGGTGACATGGCAGCCAGGCACCGAAAGTGTTGCAACTGAATGGTTTTCATTTTTCTATTTACGTTTTGCCGGTGGTTTTACCGAAGGACAGGTTGTCATAAGCCGGATCCACTGTGATCAATTCGAACCATACGACGCGTCAACTCATGGACTGGTTAGAAAGCGGCATAATTCTTCATTCGATTTCCACGAGGAAAAAATAAAACCAATTTCTCCTTGATGGATTGATTAATGGGGTCCCCGTCCACCGAAGTGCAAGTTGTCAGTCCAAATAAGTTCGCTGATTAGTGCTTCCATACTTCGTTGCCAGGTCATGGGCTGTCCACCTCGATCGCTTCAACTCAGAACAGGACCGGGCGGAAAACTCTCTGGCCTGAGAAGCACGTGTCCCAGCGTAATCTATGAAACGTTAGTGGCTTCTCCTTGGCGGGAGAGTTTCTCCCTCCTAAAGCTATCTGGCGTACCTCAGCATTAGTAATCTGGTGTTCCCACTATACCCTGCCAACGTTTCGGTGACAGTAATGGTAAAGCAGATTTTGTGTACGCCTCATGCGCGTAGAGGCCACGCTTCCGACCCATAAAGTGGCTTGGTTCTCACCGGTACAGTGTATACTTGCCCCTGACATACTGTCAGTGCCGTAGGTATCGCAGACATGCAAATACTGCCCTGCACTTACCGATTCGAGAAGTAATATAGTCTTCAGCAAGCCAATCACAACTAATAAAACTACCCAGGTAAAATACCTACTGCATCGTTTGACTGATCAGTAAGCATGAGGTTTATGTTTGTTTGCATCCAGTCTTGCAGTGACACCTAGTGTGAATCGCCAATCAAGTGTTGTAGCAGAATTGTTTAGTCCACTTACGGAGATTTGCATCTCTGAATGGCGTATCATCGGCGCTTCATTCTCCAAAGTCCCTGAAGAGTGCATAGGGGTTTCAAGGGGCACGTCAAGAATGAAGCGGACTATTAAAAGGGGACAACCTTGTCTTAGCACCGGTTTGTTGAACTTAGGGGACAGTTTGCTGTATGCGCACACGCGCCCATAGGATTTTGGGCGCAGTGCTCTCATATGTGATAAAAGTGTGATCATCAGGCCTAGCCACATTTTTTGACGTTCCGCATAGTAGAAAGCAGCCCTCGGATCAAGAAGAAAGACCTATATAATACGTCCGAAAGAGCGATGCTGTCCGGCAACTTGTCAATCTGCACAGAATAATGCCAGGAAATACATTCGATGCTGCATTTACCAGGCTGACTTCACGATGGTTTTGAATTGGCTTTCGTGTACCTTTTTTGGAAATTAAGATAACGATCAAGGGGTTCCATTTCACTGGTTTTCTGTTTCCGTTACAAATTCTTATTAGTACTGTCAAATTGATCACCAAAGTTCACCACCTTTTTTGAGAAGCGTAATTTGGAGATCATCTCGGTTGGGTGCTTTTTCGTACTTGAGCATTCGTATCTCGCGCTGGGTTTCTTCTTCCGGTGACGGACCGGTATCGTTAATGAATTCAGCTTCGTTGAGCTCTCCCAGAGGTTATGTTAAAGTCGGTCAGCTTAACTTAATTGTTCCTCCAAATGTCCATCCCATCGTTCAAGACGGTGGTTCTGCGGACGCATTACCGTTCCATCTTTTCCACAAGTTGTTTCCCCGATATCCGACTGCTTCTACTCTATCGGTCGAATCAGCCTAAGTAAGGCGTCGCCATTGTCTACAGCCGATCGTAGCTGCTTTTCAGCTATCTGCCGCGACCGTAACCTTTGACTTTAAAGTCCGACTCACAAGACAGAGGGTCCTATTCAGAGCCACTAACTCACTAGTCTGGCCCACTTAGTAGCAGAGGACTTAGCCTGAAGGCACACGGAAAAATGCATGGTGGTCTCACTCTTGATGCCATTGTGCACAGCATGTGCGTTTGGATCGGTATCGAGCTCTTGGTAGGTTTTACGTGTATTTGAACTGTCTTGGATGATTCTCCGGTGGTCATGGATAACAGGTGGGCGATCGGAGTTTGCGGTGTTCGGGACCGACTTTTTCTTATCCATCCTTCCTCAGGGCAGAGTACTATTGCTGCTCCAATAAATATGGACATGCTGATCGTCTGGATAAACACCTAACTACTTTCAATGCTTATCGGATTGGAAAGTATCATTTCCCCCCACAGACCACCTCATATTATGGTTGAACGTACCACCTGGTCCGCTTCTTGTATGACCGCTGTCCTCTGGCCCTCTCGGCATGATTGCACCTTATACAACAGAGTTCCGACCAATAGCCTGTTGAGTACCCTGTTGACAACAGGCGTCAAACTAACACCTCTGTGGTTGCTACATTCACTGCGAGTACCCTTTTTAAAAATGGACACTACTGTCGATTCACCCCAGTTGTCTAGGACGGTCTCCTTCTCCCAGATACACCCAAATGGGCTAGACAGACACTGGCTGATGAATCCACCAGTGCCTGTCTAGCCTATTTGGGTGTATCTGGGAGAAGGAGACCATCGCAGACAACTGGGGTGAATCGATAGTAGTGCCCATTTTCAAAAAGGGTACTCGCAGTGAATGTAGCAACCACAGGTGTTAGTTTGATGCCTGTTGTGACAAGGCT